TGTCATCCCTAATGTCTTCGCTGGGTAGTGGTGGTATCGTTACTTGCTCCTGCTAGTTTGCAGTTAACAGGTAAATTTTTTTTTTTCACACCTGGTCTATCACTACTTAGCAGAAAACCCTGGAAACTGGTAAGTTCAAAACTTAGGGGATAATAAACTCTCCAGCTTTTTTCACCAGCACCTTTATCTTTTGAGAGACAGCCTCTTACTCTTCAGGTTTTAATGAATTTGTGACAGGTTTTCAGCACATGTATCTGGTGAGACATTAAGAGGATGTTCTCTTTTAATGTATTCAGGGAAATTCAGAAATGTGTTTTATCAGGTCATCAGAAACAGATCAAAGCACAGCTTTCCGAAGTCTGTGGGGAAGAGATCAGCAGCTCCTGGAGGGATAGAAGCTCTTCAGGTATTGGGACATCATACTTCTGTTTCTGCCTTGATATCAATGCAAGTGTGTTGGATCAACTCATCTGCTTTTATTTCTGAGTGCTGGCTTCCAAATATGAATTTTGTAAAACTGTTTTTGCAGGAAAAATAGAACTCCTGTTCTTAGCCTAAAAAATTATTGTCATAAATGTTTAAAACAACAAACAGGCACCCATATGGTGACATAAGAACATCTTCAGACACTGTTAAGGAGAGCATGTCTTCCCGTGACAAATCTCCCTGAAGGTAAGGTTTGGAAAGAGCATGATGCATTTTGTATTGAGACTGAAGTTGTAAGCCTTTCTACTCAGAAAAAATAATTTTGGATTCTAAAAAAGACACTAAGATTCATGTGATACATATACTGAGGAAAAACATTCTCAATTTTGCCACTTCAGAAGCAGAATTATTCAAATCACTGATTACAGTCATAGTTATTTTCTTTGAGGGAATAAATGATTTACTGTTAGGACTTCAGTTAAGTTCCCCAGAAATTTAACAAAAATATGTTTACATAAAACTTTCTAATATGTTAATTGTGAGAAACTATAACACGTACATATTTTCAGGTGTTTAAGAAAGTAAGTGGTCTGCATTCTCCAGGGAACATTTAAAAAAACTTTTCCCAGAGTTGCTAGGTAACCCTATAAAAATAGTGGTAAAAGAGCTCTGCTAGCACTTCTTGGTCATAAGATACAGTTCAGAAAAACTATAGGGGCTGCTGTTAAGTTTTTCACTTATTTTCTATTTCCTATGGACTGCCCTCTGCATCTTCAGAAGGGGCACAGTCCCTGTAGTCCCCCTCTTCTTTTTCCCGGTCATGGAATGTTGCCCTATCAGAACATTTTTAAGGATGGCACCATATGGATTTACCACAGAGACTAACATGAAGTTCCTCCACACCTCAGAATTTACTTTTCTCTGTTAGATGCATTTAGAGTGATACCCTTAAATTTAAGGCAGCCATTCTCCTGGCTGTGAGGAGCTGTATGTTTTGGAACTTGGTAAAATTAATGGAGTGATATGTTCATCAAATGTAAACTTACTTGCCAGTTCAGCTAAGTAGTCACCAAATGGATGGGTCCAGTTTCCTATAGAATTTCTGAATATCAAAGCATCTGTGTCATGATAAAAGCAGGGGTCATGCAGCATATAGAAGAGAAAGCTAGCATTGCACTAACAGAAAGACAAAAGATTATTGACAGATGCAAATTATGACCTTTTCCTCCTGGACAAATATATTCCCACAGCCAAGGGACAATGCTATGTCTGTTTCCTGTACACATGATATGGGGTACGGAACATGAAATAAAGGTACACACAAGGGTATGTTCTTGGATTTCCTTCCTTCAGAAGAACCCGTCCATTTTCTCCCTTCACAATCAGCAGCCTGCTTCGGGACTGCAGAGGTCACAAACTGCAGTTTAGTCACTCTGTTCCTTCTGTAGGAAAATGGGAATGGTATCACTATGAAGAACTACATAAGAGAGTATGGCATAATAAACACTTGAAGAAAAGCACCAAGATCAGTGTTTACAAAGCCATAGTGTTGTCTACTCTCTTACACGGTTCCGAATCATGGGTTGTCTACCTCCACCACCTGTGTCTCCTAGAACACTTCCATCAACTCTGCCTCCGTACAATCCTAAACATTCACTGGTCAGATTATGTGACCAATACATCTGTTTTAGAACAAGCAGCAGTCATTAGCATTGAGGCCATGTTGCTGAGAACACAGCTGCAATGGGCAGGGCAGGTCTCAAGGATGAAGGATCACTGCCTCCCTAAGATCTTGCTCTATGGTGAACTTGTCACCGGCTGCCGCAAGAGAGGAGCCCCTAAGAAAAGATACAAGGACTCCCTGAAATAACATCTCAGCCTTGGCCATATTGATCATCATAACTGGTCTACTCTGGCCTCAAATCGGGAGGCCTGGAGACACACCATCTATAACGCATCTGTCTCCTTTGAGAACACACGCAGGATCACTCTCGAGGAGAAAAGACAACGCAGAAAGAATCTTATCCTGCTGAATGCACCACCTAAGGAGTCTTTCTGCTGTGCCTTTTGCAATCGGATATGTCTATCTTGTATTGGCCTCATAAGCCACCAGCGTGCCTGTAACAAACGTGGATAGAGCCTTTCTAAATCTTTGTTCGCGAAGCCCAGTCATGGATCACTGTGAAGCCACTAAAGTTTGGCTCCTCATGCCCTCTGGCGGCAGAACCAAAAGTGATGAGAAGTGGGTGAAGTCTGAGGTCTTGTGCTCCAAGGGAAACACAAACAGCAAAATATCCCCCAACTCCAACCCAAACTCAGACCAATTTCAGTAAGATTTGCAAAACCCTTTGCTACACTTGTCATCCTCACGCAAGCTCATGGTTTGGCCCTGGACATCTCCCTTGACACCAAGTGCCAGCACAGGGAGTGTCTGTAGCAGGAAGCCTTGACTCAGAGCTGCTGTGGCATTCCAGCAAGCTCTGCTGTGTCTGCCTTGCGGTGTGATACTACTAAGCTACCACCCAGTAGACAAATCATTTTCCTCTTTTTCTCTTGTCACAGTAGGCAAACTGTTTTTCTACTTCAGAGCAGAAGAGCCTGAAGGAAAAATGTCCTTTAACTATCAGCATTCCCTTGCTGTGTGTATTTTCTAATCAATAGCTCTTGGGTATCACTGGGCAAAACAAAGCTGTTGTTCAATACCAAATAGTTTCCTTCCTTTTCTGACTTTTGTGTTAGTCCCTGAGAAGTAGTAGAAGTGTCTCTGGAAGTTGTAGGTAGGCCATGTGTCCGAAAATCAATTTGATTTTACTGGGCTTATATTTGCACATGTGTGAAAGGATTTAAGAATTTTTTTTTTAGTGTAAAATAGTGTCACCATGAAGAGCAGGTCAGGGAATGATCAGCATTTTGGACATTCTTGTCCATCTTTCTCAAGAACTGATTAAAACACAAGAAATTGGATAACTAAAAATGCTGCACGTCTTTTATTAGTCTGTCTTTGATTGTTAGCTCCCATCTTCCCAGAGGAAATAGCAGAAAAGGGACAAATAAAAGAGAACAGCTTCTAGTCAGAGTTTTAGGTAGGAGAATAGCTATGCCCCTGGTGGGTTTTAAAGGCCTTCTGCCATTTTCCCTCAAGCCTGTGGTGAAAAGCCTATTTTGAAATCTAGTTATTTCTGTATTCAAATCTGACTCTTGAATGTAATAAGCACACATTGTACATATTTGCATGGAGTTTGGATGTCACTTCCAGATGAACCTTCTCTCACCAATTATTTTTTACAGTGCTTTTGATCCATTATGTTCCACTGATGGCAGAGCCTTACATTAAAAATGCACCTTCCACACTTGGAACATGGATTTCAAAGAAAATGGGATTACCTGTTAAAGACAGTTACCAATAGCAGAAATGAAAATTTACTGGACTTATCTTTGGAGATTTTGGTACTATAGTGTGAGCAGATTATGTAATATATCCATATTTTCATTGTTTCAGTAAAATAAAATACTGAGATTCTTTTTCTGTAGTAGCACATGGTTTTGATCTGTGCTTTAGTTCTGGTTACTCATAATTCTTTTAATGGATTTTCATCACTAGGAAATGTTTTTGGAAAAAGGATGTTTGCTTCTCACACCTAGGGATGTGATCTTATCCCTATGGGATTTAAGACAGTAAATAGGATACACACGTCTGTTTTTACCTCTTACTATAACATGAGAGGCTGCATGTTCATAATCAGTGGTATGTAGAAATGTCTCCATATTCAGAACAAGATGTCGGTCAGTACAGTGACATTATTCATATTAATCTGCATATTTTCCACAGAAATATATTGGGCAGAATATCGATACATTGAGGAGGAAATTATAGAGATGTCATACAGATGACATATGAGTCTCAGACTTAATCTTTTGCTCTTCTTCATGTCAGTGATGCTAAAAACAATGTTATACTAATGATGGTACAATATAAATATAGCTCTTAATTAACAGAACTCTGATAATTAATAAATTACATTTTATGTCCTGGAGCCTTTTGCAATTAATCATGATTTGTTTGGGGATATAAGCAAAACATGTTTAATGATTCTAAGCAGACTGTGATTATGAAATTAAATGTAGCCTTTTTTCTCCTGGATCCTATTAAGATACTTTCCCAGTCAGAAACCCATAGTTATTTTCTTCTGAAGTCTTGAACTTACTGAGCATAGTTGTTTGGGTTGGGTAGGGATTAGCAGGCTTCTGATCATTCCAGAAAATAGGACTGATGGAGTGGTAGTGCCTTAATAGTCTCATTCTCTCATTGCAAAGCTTTATCTTGCTTTTCTTTGTGAGATGGATATGTTCCAAGCCCTTATGCAGAGTCATGACAAAAAGATACAGCTGTGCTCAGAATACATTTTGGAAGATAGAGGGTAAAATACAAGACACAGGATTTAAGTCCTTTCTGCCATTACCTCCATTTTAATGTTGCAATATTTTATACAGAAGACAGTCTAAAATGTGTTATTGACAAACAACAACAAATCCAGAAACTGCTCAGGCAGCTCCAGATAAATTTCAAAATTTCTGTCTCTGCGTTACAAAATCTGCTATGAATTGTGCAGTTGAGCTACCTGTATTTAGGGAAATTGCAGGGTCCAGCACAGCCTGTTTGCAAAGAATGAACCTCATCATGAGAAAATCACCTTCCCCATCATGTTATCTCTCCTGCCATATCAAACAGAAAGGTTAGTCCCACATTTGATAGTCACAGTATTTGAATTTAGAAGGCTCTCTCTTCCCATAAATCGAGATTTTAACTTGAAGTAAAAAGCTGGAACTGATGCATTGAGCTTAGTTGTTCTAGAGGACTATGATAGGAATGAGGGTTTCTCAAATGCTGTTGTCTTTAGGCTTTAAATTCAGTTGTTAGAACTTCTACTGTATTTGAGTGTATTAGCTGATTAGGCAAACAATGCTAGGTCAGAGCTGAGAATGAATCTATCTATAAAGAGTAGATATAACTACATGCAGGACAAAACAAAATCTTTAGTGAATAAAGGACATGCCTTGTTACAGAAGCAACACGCATTTCTAATGTTGACATAAAAAAAATCATGATTGTGAAATAAGACTTTGCTGAGGAAAATTGTCTCCCCGTATACTTAGATAATGTGGGTACAATACAGTGCTGGATTACTAAGAAAAACATATGAACTGGATTTTTAAGGCAGTCTTACAGAGTAAATTAAGACGGAGATATGAAGAAGGGTAGAAGCCACTTCACTCCTTCCAACAGCATGATGCAACTGCCAGTCATAGACCACCTGATTATAACATCTAAGGAGTAATATCTGATAGTCAGTCAAACTACTGGGAAACATCCTATGAATAATAGATACTATGGAGAGGAAGATGCCTTCTCAACTGCTGGTCTCTGAATTGATGTGTCCATATATTTTTCCTTGGTGGCTTCATATATGGTAAAACTCAAACACTTCTAGGAAAGTAAGGTGCTGATGAGGTGGGTATTGTAACCATATTTTGACTCCCTTCTTCCTTGAATAAACTGTCGCTTAAACCAACATCAGGACTTCAGGAGTACATGTGTGTAATTTAAATTGGGAAAAACGTAATTCCAAGAGAAAAGAAAAAAAAGAGAAAAGGGAAACTTGAATTCTTGAACAGCTGTTATCTTTCTCAATGAGCAAGTCATCTTAAAATGTTTCATTGAAAAAGAAAAACTACACAAATTCCAAATGGATGTTATTACAACAATCTGGACCTCTAAACTAAATTCGATGTTTCACAGCCTTTTTTACTGTAATTGTCCTATAATTATGTAAACACACATATGCATGTACAAACTGAGAGAAAAAAGAATATGCTATTAGAATTTACTATCTAAAGAACAAAAGTATATAGCTGTCTATGAAATTTAAGAGTTTACCACCCTATAGGTCACAATGCTTGTATATCTTTGTAAAGAAAAATCTATTTAACTAGTACATTATTGCTATTGTGAGGTTAATTAAAGGCACAATGTGAGAGTACCTTATCTACAAAAAAAAATATGTTGCATAGCCACTTCCGGACATTGTGTTAGTTAAAAAAAAAAAAAAAGAAAGAAAACTTATTGGCATCTCTGCAAAGGGTAATGCTGGCATGGGGAAAAGAATTTCTCAAACAGCATGACAGTTGCAGTCCAGCAGGTGACAGGAATCTCCATTTCAAGGATCCTTGCAGAAGCAGCATCTGTTGAATCAGCTCATAATTTCCAGACTGTTGTTTTAGTGAATTCCTGTATCTAGGTGGAATGTGGAACTGCCTAAGGGCTCATCATTTGCATGATCTGCTGTTTTTGTTTATCTTAAATGACATACATGGCATCTTTTAATTATCTTAACTATGTATAAAACAATTGTCAGTACCCCAAGGGCACAAACAGGCCATAATTGCCTTGACCAGTCTTACCTGAGATCCATACCCACTCCTGCTCCCAGAGCCGCTAGACACCCACTTTTTTCAGGAGGATGTAGATGTGCTTGTTCTCTGCCTCATCTCCAGTTCTGTCTCCTAAACAGACCATGAACCCATGCTTAACCTTGTATTCAGACCCAACTCTGGTCCCATCTCCTGCTGCTTCTGAAGGGACTCCCTGGATGGGCTCTGCATCTGATGGACAATTGCTTGTCTTGACTGTTGGTAGATCCTGTTCCTGCCAAGTCTGTTGATGCCCTGAGGGACTGGACTCTGACTAGTGAGGCTGTGCCCCTGCTTCATTCCCCACATTGGAGCATCCCGGTTCTTGCTAGTTCCTGGCAGGAATGTCCTGCATGGCCATTTCTGCATCTGTAGGAACAGTTTCTGCTGACTACTACATCTTACTTGCCCACAGTTTGGCCAACTCTGCCATGGAAATTACTTGAAAAATACAAAAGAGAGTGGGTCCAGCAGGAGATGCCTGTAGGAATTTCTAAAACCAGTTGAAATTCACACCTAGAGAGCTTTGGGAGGAGTTAGTCCAATAATTTGTTGTGCAGGCAGATACAAGCCCTGTCTGCCACCCTGTCTAAAGTCAATCTATCACCTCTATCAGCACATTATCTCTAAGCTGGGAACAGTTAAGGCTTTCCTGGTCTACCCAGGAAATTGAGGAGTGGAGTGTATTGGGTGTGCATTGAGGCACAGCGCTGCCGTGATACTCACCAGTATGACCAGCAGTCCTCAAACCACAGGACACTTAATTCACATGGAAAAAATAAATTACACAAGATTGTCAGAGTCTTTCAGATCCTAAAAATGTGTAGTTTAAGTAAGGTATCCACAAATTATTACACCTTTCCCTGATTCATTTTTAGCAACATTATTATTTTCATATTTCTGATGAAGTAAAAGACTAGGAAAAGTTTATTTCTGATAAAATTAAACAGTTCGAGTCAAATAAATATTTTTATTATTATAGTCCATAAGGGCTGATGTTTTTACCTTTTACAACTTGTTTACTTACAAAAAAGGTAGAAAGTTTTTCAGAACTGAATGAAAAGCAAGATTTTTTTAAATATATAAAGTACTATGTACTCTAAGTACTACTAAGTACTCTTTTTCTCAAGAGTATCAACAGTATCTTAAAGAGGAGACAATTTACCTAACACAGACAACAAATTCATGCTGGAGCTGTCTGGCAACAATAGACTAGGTCTTTGTGTGTCATTGAATTGGGCTACTGTAACCACTGAAAAATGGGATACCACATATGTTAAAGACATATTTAATCTGATTTTAGGCACAGACTGGGCCCATCTCCTTGTGTATGTGCAGAGGAGTCAATAGAGAGAGAGAACACCTTGTATTTATGCCATTATCAGAATATCTGTTCATCATGCAAGATGATTTGGACATGCACAAGTCCCTTGATCCGAGAAATGATGTAGAGTAAACTGTGAGCTCATAAATACATTCCGTTCTAGTATCTGAATGGTTACTGGTATGAGGCCTTGAAGAAATTCTTGGTAACAGGTTGGAATTATGGATTTTACATGCTGAATCTGAATGATACCTGTGAAGCAGGTCAGCTGTGAAAGCAGTCTCTTTTCTGGAGATTATAATTTTAGATGGATTCTCTGGTGGTTTTGTGTTAGCTTCCTCCCTTTCTGCAATCGACGAATGGACCATCGGTATTTGAAATATAGTGAGGAGAAAGCACTTATGTAAAATTAATCTCTGGCAGCTGTTTTTGCTTCTTGAAACTGTTGAAAGCACACTGTATGTATAAGTGCTTTTTATATGAATATATGTTCGTTTGGAAAAGGATTCACAATTTGTACTTTCAGAACATCTATGTATCAACTGGTCATTTTGTGATCCCTTTAACATCAACAAAGAGAAAGAAATGCACCATAAAGATTTCTAGCTAGCTAGCTAATTTTAAATACCTACCTTAAGATGGTCAATCATGCTGTGAACCCTAATGTTCCCACTCTTGAGCAGTTTACTATTGACACTGAGTATAAGTGAAACTAGACAGACTAGTTTAAGTGTAGACATATCATAGAATCATAGAGATTTAAAGTTGGAAAAGACCTTTAAGATTATCAAGTCCAACTGTCAACCCAGCAGCATCAACACATTCACCATTAAATCCCTTCTCGAGTGCCATATTCACAAGATTTTTGAATACTTCCAGTGACGTGACTCCGTCACTTCCCTGGGCAATCTGTTCCAGTGCTTTACAAACCTTTCAGTGAAGAAATTTTTCCTAATATCCAGTCTAAACCTCCCCTGGTGCAACTTGAGACCATTTTCTTTCATCCTGTCACTTGTTACTTGGGAGAAGAGAATGATACCCACCTCACTACAACCTCCTTTTAAACAGCTACATATGATTGCACATTCCATACCACCTCCATAGGAGGACTGTGAAGTTTTGAACTTCACTTTGTACACAAAACCAAAGACATCTTACATAGTTTTATAGCAGAAATATGACAGGTTTTGTTTTGTTTTGGTTTGGTTTGTGGGGTGTTTTTTTGTTATGTTTTCTTTGAGAGGATGATCCTGGAAGTCTGTCAGATTCTTCACAGGAACATCTTGGATTTTGTGAAAATGAAACATGTGGGGTTGAATGTGTCCTAAAATGAAGCTAAAGCACTAAGAATCTGTGTCTGTAACTTCTGAGATTGTGATGATTTCTAAGTGCTACACAAATGCCATTGGCATAATAATAGGACCTTCTCTAGAGCGTAATGCAAATTTTTAGATATGGAGAAGTACAACATAATTTAAAATCCAGAAGTCTGCGGTGTTATCTCCACAACTTTGACAAAAATATGATTCAAGAGCTAGGGGAATCTTTGCTGCTCACACTTTACCCCTGTAGTATGTGTGTTTATCAGTGTGCATGTATTTGTTTGCATAGACTGAAATTTTTGGTCTTATGCAAGTCAGTGGCAGTTTTGTTGCTGAATTGTCATGCACTTAATGTGACAATGATTTCATCCTTTGCAAAAGAAAGCCCTTGGACAATTTTCCATAAGCTTTCCTTCTCACCTCCTCTCTCTGCTTTCTAATCTAATCTATTATAATTCAATCTTTCTGCTAGTCATAGAAATGTAGATAATAAGTCAGAAGATGGAAGAGTCCTTCTTGCATGGCCTTGTTTTGATCAATTTGTATAAGAGATTTTGTATGAAGTTTATTTCTATTAACAAGTTATGAGACAGAACTATATATATATA